AAAAAACGGAAAAATTTAAACTGAAAAAAAAAAAAAAACGGAATTTGGGAAAAAATCTAACTGATTTCATAGAGCCCTATAATAGCTAAGAATGGTGCCACGTGTGTCTGAATTCGATAAGCCCCTCTGGACGCTTGTGTGTGTGCACAGCTGTCTGTTTTTCTCTGCTGTTCACTTACATTCACCTCCACACTCCAAACACATCGCCCCTTCCTGAGGCCTATGGGTAATCCAGCAGAACTTCAGAATCAGACAGTCTACACACACGCACACACTCTCAGCTGTCCTTGGCTTTGATCCCTGGCTGAGGGTCCTTTAATTGGCCAACAGTTTGGTCAGCGCGTAACATGCTTGAAGTCTCTCGATTTAGCCATTTCAGAAAGACTCATCTGTGCACTCAATCTCTGTTCCTGTTCTCAACCGAATTCTGTTTTTAAAACCTGTTGAACTTCCTACCTAGACAACATTTAAAGGTAATTATAGGTAGAGATCAGGGTTATTATAGTAAACTATTTTTCATTTAATAAAAACACATTTTTCATTACTTGAAATAAAATAAACGTTAACTAATAAACTGAAAAAAAATATATAAAATATAAATAAAATGTAAAACTTATTTCAGCTTGTTGGCATTCAACATTTCTCATTTTAATATAGTTTAACTTGACGTATTAAAATAACTAAAACAAAAATTAATAAAAAACTATGAAAAAAAGATGAAAAAATTATAAACGCAGCAAATTTGCTTAAACTTTAACTAAGATGAAAATGTAAGTTGTAAACCAACTTATTCAAAATATTAATAAAAACTATAAAAGTATCTCAATTATACTAAAATAACACTGGTAAAGATGCTGTCTGTCTGTTTTTTTTTTTTTCAGCTGATATTGATTATTTAATTGTGCATTGCTCATATCCACTATGTTTACATTTGGATTATCTTCCATAATTTAACATTCACTTTCAGTTAATTTTTAAAAATATTAATTATTTCATAACACTGTTAAATGCAATATTATTTGTTTTGAAAAATCTCAAAATGAACTGTACAATCGAACAATTACATTTTTAGCAAACAATGTGCTGCACAACAGAGGTTTACTGTTAAAATTAAAACATGGAAGAAAAACTGTGATTATTCCTTAAAAAAATAAGTTTTAATAATAATTTATCAGTAGTAGTATTACATTAAGACAAACATGGTAAAATATTTGTCACAATTTTGTATTTTTTCAATTTACATTTATTTTGAAGGGTTTATATTTCAGTAACTAGAATGATTTTAATAGATTTTAGATTTGAATAGGTTTTAGTTTCAATAACAATACTGATTGGAATCAATTGGATTCTAGTTTTGTAGTGTACATTTCATAAGGACTGCTAAATGTGTTATATAGTTGCTGTCTGTGTAGAGTACTTCTAATCAGTAGTATGCTGTCTTAGAAGGTAGCTGCCTAAGTAGGCAGCAGACAGGGAGGAAGCTCACTTTGAGCAGAGCTAGTCTCAACTTTCACCTCAACTTCCTCAATAATTTCCTTAATCATATTTCTCTCCATCACTTTATTGTAAATAATAACTAAGTGCGTGTGAATACGTGATTGCACGTCTCATGTCACTGCCCCGCGGTCAGGTTCACACTCTCAGCCGCACATAAACAGCAATGAGTCCCTCTCATTCTCCTTCAGACAGATGTGCTGTAACTCGTCTGAGAACATGAGTCCCGGTGATTCAGCTCCGCTCTCCAAAGTCCTCTCCTGACAGCACAGCAAAAGCCGTCAGTTGTTATAGCAGCGGCTCATGACAAACACGCCGTTACATGAGCATACATGAGCATGTACTGTTGAGCGCTGTGTTCGGAGAATCTCTCAATCAACTGCAGGAAGTTTTGCTGTAAAGAGGAATGACCTGTCGTCTCTTTCTCTTATTATCAGTCATAACCCCCACCATAAAAACTATAATGTGCTTTACAGTAGTTATGTTGTTTATATATATGTGTATATTTTGACCTGTCGTCTTCACTTGGTGGTTGTGCGGATGTTGACCCATCACTACTGTTGTTGGTGACCTTTGTGATCTGTTGCCCAAAACACTTTATCAAAGTTTGTTAGTATTCTTTTAAAGGGGCACCACTTTGTAAAAGACACCAAAAGACATGAATAGTCCTTTTGACAAATCTAAATTAAAGGGACTCCCCTTGCGGCTTTATAAATTCTGTTTTTATGTAATTTTTTTTAATTTTATATAATAATATTTAATTGAATGTAATATTTTTACATTTTATATCTTTTAATATTTTATTTATTATTGATTAACATTTTAAATTATTTTATAAAATTGACATTTTCAGCAGACTGCCCTTATGGCTTTCTAAATTCTGTTTTTATGTATTGTTTTTAATTTTATATCTTTATTAATATTTTACTTATTGAATACAAATTTATTGTATTTTATTATTTATTTTATTTTATAAAACTGAACTTTTCACTAGACTCCCATTGTGGCCTTCTAAATTCTGTTTGTTTGTATTGTTTTTAATTTAATATAATATTTAATTTAATAATATTTTAAAATGTTATATCTTTTAATATTTTATTTATTATTGATTAACATTTTGTTATTTATTTTATAAAATTGGAATTTTCAGCAGACTGCCCTTACGGCTTTCGAAATTCTGTTTTTATGTAATGTTTTAATTTTATATATTTATTAATATTTTACTTATTATTGAATTCAATTTTATTTATTTTATAAAATTGACATTTTCAGTAGACTTCCCTTGTGGCCTTCTAAATTCTGTTTGTATGTATTGTTTTTAATTGTATTTAATTAATGTTTTTTATTAAATACATAATAATAAATAATAATGTTTTAATTAAACAATTAAGTCTGCACGCTTTTTGAATAGTACCTATTGTAGGATGGTCTATGTTTTAAACTCTTTTGGCACTTAAGCGTCTGTATTTTGTTCTTTATAATTGGTTGGAATAATTTATGTATGTATGTATGAATGTGTTTGTTATTGCCTTAGTGTCTTAGTTCTGTCTGAGCTCACCAAGAAATTCCAGACAACTACGTTGTTGTTTGTTTGACAATAAATAAATAAATTAGTAATACATTTTATTTTATGTTGTCATGTCATGTAAACTCCCCTTTCGGGCCCCTAGCGATCCTCGGATCCCAATTTGAAAACCTTTGCCCTAGAGCATGCAATGACCATGGAAACCAAAAATGTTGCTTGCTTTTCTGCCAACATTTGCCTATTTAAATCTCCACATTTATGCAAATCTATAAAACCCTCTCTTCCAAGCATGCACCAATAATTAAGTTTGATCTGCCCTAAAGTGATGCGTAGTCACATTGACTCCATATTTCACCATTCATGACTTTAAAGCTGCTGAAGCTTTGCATGAAGTCCCAACAAGCCCTTGAATCTAAAAAATATGAAAGTACACCTAACCTAATTGTGCTCATTGTGGCAGACCATGCCATGCCTATTACAGACAACAAGGCCCATTTAAAAGCAAATGCTATTTTAAAACTTTATAGAGTCGAGACTGCCTTTCTTTATCCATTTGAGGTGGAGTCCAGTCTGAGAAAGAGATGAGCCCAATCTAATCTCCACCGCCCCATCAGATGGGTTCACGAGAGCGCACAGATGATTAGCTCCTCAGATTAGAGGGGCTAGTTTGGACATCTGAAGACTGATTTGGTTTTGCGGAAGACCAGGGCTGCCCTAAAACCGCCCTGCCCCCATGAGCGCTTAACTTGACTAGACACCATGGGGGTGGATTAATTGGACCAAGGCTTGTTGGTTCTTTGGGGGGAAGGGGTTGAACTGAGACCCTTCCATGAGGTTTTGGGGTGTGTGACAGTACTGAAGTGCTATCCTTTGCCGCCATGGACCAGCGTCTAACGGATGGGGCGGCCTGCACACATCCCATGATGTAGAAGGTAAGAGGAGGGGACGGCCATCTGATTGATGTGTTTCAATAGGAGTCATTTCAGAGAGATTTGGATTAAGCTTGAGTAGGTGTGGCAGTCGAGGCTTTTACTGTATATAAAACAGCAAGGTGTACAGTATGCACAAGAAACTAGTTGTGGTTATTGGTTTTCTTGTCAAAACAAGGCAACCATTGGCTTATCACTAAAGGCACACTTGATGTGGTCTTTTTGTTTTTAACTTATCTTTACAAAAATTGGTTGAATCTTAGGAGCGTCCTACCTAAAGGTTCATATTATTTTTCTATATATTCAAATGAATAACCATTCAAATGTTGGGGGGTAGTAAGATTTATTTTAAAGAAATTAATACTTTTATTCAGCAAGGATGCATTAAATTGATCAAAAGTGACATTAAAGTTATGTATAATGTTAAAGAAGATTCCTGTTTCAAATTCTTTTGAACTTTCTATTTATCAAAGAATCTTGAAAGATATAGCACTGATAACAATAAATGTTTCTTAAACAGCAAACCAGCATATTAGAATGATTTCTGAAGGATCATGTGGCACTGAAGACTGGAGTAATGATGCTGAAAATTCAGCTTTGCATCACAGCAATAAATTACATTTTAAAACATATTCAATTAGAAAACCGTTATATCCGGAATATCTTGGTTCTACCATAGTACATGTCCAAAAACATGGTAAATGATATCACAAACAATGGTTTTTGCAAATGTACCGTGGTATTCTTGAAAGTGCCTTGGAGTACCATGTAAATACCATGGTATGTGGATTCTTCTAAACCATTCACTTCTGTGTTTCTGGATTGGTTAGGAGTCTAAACGATGTCCTTTGGTCATGTGCATCTGTGTATGGTCGTGATGTTTTGTACTATCAGAAGAGAAAGTTTACAATAGATGGAATGACGTCCGCTGCAGAAACGGCACAGGAGTTCTTTTTGTGGTCTGGTGAAGTGATATGAACCTGACCGTGAGTGACTCAAAGGTTCTGCTGCTCAAAGCGTATGATGTCTGATTTCTCTCTCTGTTCCTGTAGGTGTGTCATCATCCCGACTGTCAGGAACTGAACGGTAAAAGCCCGCTGCACCTGTGTGAGTCATGTGATTCTCGCTGTCACCTGGATGAGTCTGACAGCATGCACTTTGACAGGCATCTCCGCTTCGACATACAACCACAAGGTAAACGGCCCCACGGGCGCAAACACTCTTATGTGACCCTCTGCCAAACAGGTTTATGTTTTATACAAATGAGTCTCATTCAAAAGTGTTAAAAACGAGTAACTACCAATAAAATTCAATCACCCAACAACAGATGCTGAATATTAGTATAATATAATAGCTGAATAGTAGTATAACAGTATAGTAAAATAGTATACGTTTTTGTTTTTTATTGATATTGATTTATTTTAATAATTAAAAATACTTCAATTACGTTGATTTTATCTTTTATAAATTTGATTTATATTATATATTTGTATTTTTCTTTTTAAATATTATATATGTCTCTTTTTGATGAATCTCGAAGAATTTGTTTTATAATTTTTTTATTTATTTGTACACCATCCTTGCACCATTATGTAGTTAAGTAATTCGTTTATTAGTTAATTTACTATTATACAGATCAGATTTGCATTAAATCTGTGTCGGCAGGTTCTATCCTGGCGCGGAATGTGTCCACGCGTTCCTGTCCCCCTCGCACAAGCCCCCCTTCAGACCTGGATGAAGACGAAGAAGGAAGTACTGAGCGAGGGTCAGTCGGTGATCCACAACATTTAAATAACTGTATGAAATCTTACAGCACATACACACCAAGAGAGGCACAGCAAATTGATGCGAAATTCAAAATGTTTTTTCAAATCAAGGTGACATGCATGAAGCGTTTGCGTACCTGAACGAGAGTGAAATACACATGGTCAATCTGAAATTGAGCAATGGAAATAAATCACTATGGCTGCATGATGAATTGAATTAAAACCACAATCACGATATGTCACTTGGTGTGATTTAATTCGTAAAGGCTGTGAATTTAAAAAATACGTCATGCGATGCAAGTTTCAAAGTTCAAAGTGCAAGCTTCACTTAATATGACGCAGCACAACTGTTTTCAACTGATAATAATAATAAATGTTTCTTGAGCAGCAAATCAGCATATTATAAAGATTTCTGAAGGATCATGTGACACTGAAGACTGGAGTAATGATGCTGAAAATTCAGCTTTGCATCACAGAAATAAATTACATTTTAATATATATTAAAATATAAAACAGTTATTTTAAATTGTAATAATATTTCAGAATATTGCTGTTTTTAATCAAATAAATACAGCCTCTATGAGCATAAGACTTCTTAAAAATATATATTTTGAACTGGTATAAAGAAAAATGCATCTTTTTTTAATGATAAAAAGTACAAATATTTCATGCAATCTCTCAATATGTCAGAATAAATATTCAATCACAACCACGATTTGTCACTTGGTGTGATTTAATTCGTAAAAGGCTGTGAATTAAATAAATACCCGTGATGTCGGTTTCAAAGTGAAGTGTGGTATTGTGTTCATTTACACGTGAGCAGCTCATGATCTGGTGTTTTCAGCGGTTCGGTTTGCTGCAAATGCCCCACACCAATTCACCTCTGCAAGCGCTGAGAGTTTGGGTCACTTATTTTGTGAATTTCCCAAATTAGAGAAGTGAGAAGTGCTTATAAACCATCTGTTGTCAACAAAAGAGAAGCTTTAAAGGGTTAGTTCACCCAAAAATGAAAATTCTGTCATTAATTACTCACCCTCATGTTGTTCGAAACCCGTAAGACCTTCGTTCATCTTCGGAACACAATTTAAGATATTTTTGATGAAATCTGAGGGCTCTCTGACCTTCCCATAGACAGCAAGGTAACTACCACATTCAAAGTTCCACGTAGAGACGAAAATGTGGAATAAAGTCGTTATTTTTGTTTTCTTTGCGCAAAAAAGTATTCTCGTAGCTTCGTAACTTTACAGTTGAACCACTGATGTCACACGGACTACTTTGTCGATCATCTTGGTACTTTTCTGGACCTTGAATGTGGTAGTTACCTTGCTGTCTAACCCTTTAAGGACTCCCTGCTGTTTTTCTTCAAAATAAAAGCACAATAGTTTTACATTTGAAAATAATAAAATTAAAAAACAGAATTATTAATATTGGAATTTTACTTGTGTTCTTTTATTATTATTGCAATACTTATGATACTTATAATATTTCTGTGTTATTTTTTATTATATTTACCTGATATTTTTTATTTTACAGTGAAATATTACTGCAATAATATTTATTGTTTTATTTAATATTTTATTTAATAATAATATTATTATCATCATCATCATCTTGATATATAATCACAGTTTTGTCTAAATTGTGCAGCCTTACAAACAAGCACAGCAAACCTGGAGCTTTTTTAAAATCACACAAATTTTAACACAAAAATTGCAATTAGATTAAATCCCCTCAAATTGTACAGTGATGGATTGCCATGGGCCATTGTCCTCATGTGTCTGCGGTGTTTTTCTGTCTTTTAACAGAGACCATAAGACAGGAGAAATGAAGCTGAAAGGCAGAGAAGGAAAAAAGCCCCAGCGGCGCCACACTGATGTGAGTGCTGTCCTCCTTTCGCCAAAGGCTCATGGGAAACTTTTTAATTCTTAGCTGACTGTACTCACTGATAGTCTAAAAACAAGCTCCTTTACATCCTACATATTATATTAACATACCCTACCGATATTTTCTGTACAAGTACCTGTACAGACTTGTATGTGGGCTTCCCTATCCAATGTAGCGTACAGGAAATGACACGTCTCTGAATCGTCAGCAGCCCCAGGATGTGGTGGCTTGACGGATATCTTGATCTGATCACATCTAGAGTTCATTGTAAATGACTGGAAGTTGTCTGTCTGTCGCCCACCTTTGACCAGCGCTGGTCTGTCGCCCCCTATAGGACCCCAGGAAGGAGTGCTTCAGCCTCAAGTTTGACCTCAACATAGACATTGACACAGAGATCGTCCCCGCTGTCAAAAAGAAGACATTACGGTGAGATCTGTGTACCCTGGGAGTCGAGCACACAACCTTGGTGTTGCTGGGTCTGTTCTCTGCCAGCTGAGGAATGAAATCAGCTGTTTTTGTTGTGTTTCAGTTAAATAGGTAGTTGACGCTAAATGTGTCCATTGCGTAATCAATATTTTAGGTTAGAATTAATTTGAATATACAGTACTGTTCAAAGGTTTGGACACGGTAAGATTTGTTTTTTTAAAGAAATTCATACTTTTATTCAGCAATAATGAACTAAATTGATCAAAAGTGACAGATATTTATAATTGTATAATTTAATTTCTTTTATAATTCTATAAAAATTCTAGAATTCCATTATAGAATTATAAAATATAAAATAATTTTATAATTCTATTTCAAGTAAATGCTGTTCTTTCTATTCATCAAATAATCCGGAAAAAAAGTGTTACTGTTTCCACAAAAATATGAAGCAGCATATGAACTGTTTTCAATATTGATAATAAGAAGTGTTTCTTGAGCAGCAAATTAGCATATTAGAATCATTTTTAAAGATCATGTGACGACACTGAAGACTGGAGTGATGAAGCTAAAAATTCAGCTTTGATCACAGCGATAAATTATGATTATTATCGTGTATTTAAATTGTATCAGTTATTTTAAATTGTAATATTTCAAAATATATTTCTAATTATAAATATATAATTATATTTATATTTTTTATCAAATAAATGCAGCCTCATAAGACTTCTTAAGAAATGTTTTGAACTGTAATGTATAAAAAAAGTATTTTATTTTTACCTTCACTATAGTTTATTTTAAATCTTGCCATGTGAAAATAATTTTTTGAATTAGAAGTAAAAAAAAATGCATGTAGTATCTCAATGTCATAAAAAATAATTATACAAATAATTTTAAAAAAATGCCACACCAAAGGAAAGGCGTATTTCATGCCAGCTTACCAAATAAAAACACAGTTTCTTACGGATTTTTTGTCTTTTAAAGGTCTAAATCTTTGAAAGGGTGAAATTTCCATAACTCAGTCTTTGCTTTGTTCATTTTAGCTGTGAAGCTCATTTACTCATTTTATTGTTCTGCAGAGAGGTGCTCGGACCCATTTTTGAGCGCAAGGGCATTGAATTATCCCGAGTGGATCTGTTCCTGGACCAGTCCAACACTCCACTCTCACTCCACTTTGAGGCGTATCGTTTCGGAGGACATTACCTCAAAGTGAAAGGTAAGAGTCGTGTGGTTTAAAGCGTGACGCATCCTCCGCGGTCTACAGCTTCTTCTCATCAGCATGGTTTCCAGCTGATCACTGTGACAACTTATTGCTTCAATCTTGCTATCAGCATTTCCTCCCTGTTTAGGTAACCATTTCTTCCTACACATTTGCAGCATTAAAGGTTCAAAACATACACCATATCGCCGTATTACACAACACGGCAGTCATTGTGTCCACAGAACCAGACCGTTTACCGGGAAATGAGGTGTGACCAATTACACTTCTGTTAGCTGTCATCCTTCTAAAGGAGCCTCACAGGGACATGCTGTTTTTTCAAGTAGATCATCTCATTCACACAATGCTTTTCATGATTATACAGCCATGTGCCTGTCTTTACAAATCCCCATGGCCAGATGTCTTTAATCAGATAATGCTAACACAGGCATCCCACAGGTGCTCGATGGCTGCTTGCGTAATACACCGCCTGTGACGTGAGAACGAAGCGAGGGGTTAGCATTAAAATGATTGGGACATTAGCAGCCAGATGGAAGAGTTTCATTCATGCTGAAAATCTGCTCTGTTGAAGACCTGTTACTTTAAGCATACTAGCAACGGATGTCAGCTTATTCAGTGATAATGAATATATGATGATATTTAACAAACAATAATCCACAGTAGTGTAATTATTTTGTTTTACTTTTTTATTTACATTTTTTTTTTACTCCCTTATAGTGTTGTTGGTCAAGGTTTTTAGTCATATCTAAACACCTTGTGAACTTGTGATATTTAGTTTGGAATTTAACTCCATTTAAACCGTAATCTACACTGTTGTAAGTATTTGCTCTTGCTTAATTTTTATTTAATTGTTTAATTGAATTTTTTTTTTAATTTACATTTTTATTTATTAATCTAACAGCAATTATTTCATTTTAAAAATAACAAAAGCATAATAATAATAATATAACATTAATGATAATTAACAATTATAATAATCTATTAATTGAAATGTCATATTTAATAGTGAGTTTTTAATGTCATATTTAAAATTGTGATTTATAAAAGCAAATAGCCATTCAAAGCTATGTTCTCCACTATTTTTACCACAGTTAAAGTTATTATATATTGATATGATAATACACACTATTTTTTCTTTTAATTTTATTAACTATATTTTATTAGGATTTGACATTTGAAGTCATCTGATTTTGTTGTTGCAGTGAAAGGTTTATCTAACATAGATCTATTTTATAAACAGTGTTTTCATAATAAGAACATTATTTGTCTTTTTCATACAATTAAATGAGTATTTATTACAGTGTGTGTTTTTCTGCAGCTCGGCCTGGCGATGAGCTGAAGGTGGAGCAGAGTGTGAAGGATCTGCACTCTCTGAGTCTACCCAACATGAAGCCGTCAGTAGGGGGCAGCGTCTACATCCTCACACCGGGCAGTGAGAGGGCAGAGCACGGGTCCCTACCGTGGCGGGAGAGTGTTGACGTACTGGTCAGTGATGCTGCTTTTTCCTGTCTATAGCCGCTCAAGCCTTTCATAAGCCAGTTTGTGTCATAAATTACGATAAAAAAAAAAAAATCTGTTTTAGAAACATGTCCTAATGTGCTTAAGGATGCCAAAGGGGCCATGTCTGCCCCCTAGATTTTATTTTATTTTATTTTGACCATTTTCTGCCACATAGATAGTAGTAGGGGATTCTTTTATTCTATTTTACTTTTTGTCATATCTGTTTTAGAAATGTGCGATTTGGTTTCATAAGACCTTTTTTCCATTTATTTTATTTTATTTTATTTTATTTTATTTTATTTTATTTTATTTTATTTTATTTTATTTTATTTTATTTTATTTTATTTTATTTTATTTTATTTTATTTTATTTTATTTTATTTTATTTTATTTTATTTTATTTTATTTTATTTTATTTTATTTTATTTTATTTTATTTTATTTTATTTTATTTTATTTTATTTTATTTTATTTTATTTTATTTTATTTTATTTTATTTTATTTTATTTTATTTTATTTTATTTTATTTTATTTTATTTTATTTTATTTTATTTTATTTTATTTTATTTTATTTTATTTTATTTTATTTTATTTTATGCCACATAGATAGTAGTAGGCGATTCTTTTATTTTATTTTACTTTTTGTCATATGTTTTAGAAATGTGCGATTTAGTTTCACAACACCTTTTTTTCCATTTATTTTATTTTATTTTCATATGTTTCAGATACACAGCCTAATGTGCTTATGGATTTTTTTTTTAAATGATGTTTTACACCTTTGCAGCATTTAATTTTTTTCACCAAGTCCTTAATAGTGTTTTTAATCATTATTTAGTTTCACAAGACCATTTTAGATAGTAGTAGGGGATTCTTTTATTCTATTTTACTTTTTGTCATATCTGTTTTAGAAATGTGCGATTTGGTTTCATAAGACCTTTTTTCCATTTATTTTATTTTATTTTATTTTATTATTTTATTCTATTTATTTTATTTTATTATTTTATTTTATTTTATTTTATTTTAGAGACCATTTTTTGCCACAGATAGTAGTAGGCAATTCTTTTATTTTTAGTTTCACAAGACCACTTTCCCCCCCTTCAAAAGTAAACAGGCTCTTTTTTTTTTTTTTGCCACTTTGAGACATCTGTACATAAATGATCTTTATGATTGGCTAATCTATTTGCATGTACAATAAGCGTGTTTGCTGTTGGCTCTAATATCATGCGTTCCTCTCTTTCTTGATTTCTAAAAACCTCAGTCCCACTTGAACTTCCTTTTAAGGTGCCAGCTTGATGTAAATCATCTTAAAAAAAGAACACATGACCTCATACAGGAAGTTTACTGAGTGCATCCTCCGTCTGACCCTCTGACTGATGTTGGCGATTGTTTGGGTTTTAGCTCTTTTCTGTAGAAATGGCTGGTTACTCTTTCAACATCATAGGGTTGGATTTTCCCCGGCTGCACCGTGATACTCAGTAAAGCTGGATTCATGGAAAGGCAAGCCTGAACGTACTCCTGTGTGCGTGTACAAACATGGATATGCAGGCATCGGAGATGAGTGCAGACTTTAGGATTATAGGCAAAGGCCTGTCGATGCACCTCGTGGGTTTTTACTGCGATTAGAGGTTGAATCGTCAGGCTTAGCAACAAAAACTTGAGAACAGAGCATTCAGGTCTAGGCTGTGTCGTCCCGTCAGGCTTTGCTGGGCGCTGTGTGGATGTAGGTTACATAAAACAAGTCTCTACGGGTTGGACGAGTGTCGCACAGGTATTACACATCAGAATCGGGTTTGTTTTTCTAGTTCTTCTGTAACACTGGCCTTTATGGAAAATTCAGAGAGAATTGGGATTAGATTTACGCTTTTTCTTTTGTGATAAAAGGTTCATTTGCAACCCAAAAAGGAAAATTCTCTGCTTTTATCTTAAGAAGTTTTGCAGTAATTACGGTTTCTTCTTTGAATAGAGAAGAACAACTCAGGAAAGATATTGTGTGTCAAATTATGCAGCTTGTTTAGAAAAGGTGTGCTGTTATTCTTTAAAGCATTTTTTTTCCATCAATTTCAATACAAAGAATGGCTGTTATTTCACAGAAGTCGCCTCTGGTATCGTTTAAGACCACTGTTTGGCATTCACACATTTGTTTCGTAACAGCCAGCATGAGTTTGCATCATGGTATCAATTTCCAAATTTGTAAGTTCCACCACCCACTTATTTTCCAGCAGGGTGTTCCTTATCACTCCATTACTCAATTCCCATTGTAGTTTTTCATTATATGCAAATAGCACAATGTAGCGCAAACTTTTCTCAAAAGGTATTATTTTTTTTAAGAACCTTGATGGCCATATAATGTATGTAATTTTTATCATTAAATGTGACTTGGTAAAGAACCTTTTTTTGTGGCATCCTGATAGATTTAAGCAATTTGTGATTTAAAAAATACTAATAAATTAATTAAATGGCCATCAAGGTTCTGGAAAAAAAAATGATATATGATTTTTAAAATAATAATAATAATATTATTAAGTTCATTTATTTACTAAATATTATATTTTAGTTCTGTCAAAAGTGTAGTAAAGTATTTTTTGCCAAAACACAGCTAAAGAATTGTGTTTATTTGATACAGTAAAAACAGTAATATGAATTTTTTTTTTTTTTTTACAATTTAAAAGAACTGTTTTCTGTTTCAATATAAATAAAAATACTGTTTATTCCTGTGATCCATCATTCTAATATGCTGATTTGCTGCACGAAAAACATTTCGTATTGTTATCAGTGTTGAAAACAGTTATGCTGCTTAATATTTTTGTGTAAACCATGATAATCAGGATTATTTGATAAATAGAATGTTCAAAAGAATACTATTTATTTGAAATATAAATATTTTATAACATAATAAAAGTCTTTATTGTCTTTTTTGATTAATTTAATGTGTCCTTGCAGAATAATAGCATTAAATTACTGACCCTAATCATTTGAACAGCAGTGTGTAGATAGATAGATAGATAGAGAACACATAGATTTTCTGACAGTAGCCGTGATCTATTGTAAAGTCCGCTGATGTCCTCCGACCTCTTCGTTTCCCGCTGATGGAATTTTCAAGTCATCTTCCAACTATTCCGTTGGAATTTTTATGAGAGCTGCTGGGTTTTGTCTGTGAGCGCGTTTGACCTGTATGTGGTAACTAACCCACTGTGTCTTGCCCCCTCACCAAAGCCTGACCTTTAGAAAGGAACCCATCACCCCTGGGATTATTGGTGGGGCGGTGACACCAGGACTCCTCTTTGAGGTTTGATTGGCCAGATCCGCCCCCGGTGGGGGAGTGACCTTTGAAGCGCGAGCGTTTGATGTAGTGCCGTGACTTTTACACTTCCAGGAGCTGAAAGACGAGTATCTCACAAAAGCAGGTTTTCAGGTGAAAGTCGTGTTTTTGCCCTTGCAACTTGGATCCGACCCTTCTGTTGACATCAAATTGCCGAAATATGATGGCCCTCTAATGGTTATGTGTATAGATATGCGTAGTCTAAGCACAATGCGGTTACCATTCGTGTTCAGTTTTAAGTGCACACTGGGATTCTGTCGCTTTATGCATGTCCTGTTGCGTAAACTTCATCTGTCACCTCCGAGACCTCGACTTCAGGACTCCCCTCTTCACCTTTAACCTGCGGCTCTGTTGCATTAGTCAAATAGCCTCAGATTGATAATGCTAGCTGGCATTTGGGCTGCACTGTTCATCCACACAGACACATAGTAGAGCGATCTCACCTGTCTAATGACCTGAGAGATGTATTACACAAGCCTACAGGTGATTAGATCAGAAATCCCCATGGCCCTCAGGGGCCCCCAATGTGCAGTGGTGTAGAGAAATGTGTTATTATGATAGATTTAGTGAATCTTGGTCATGTTGTGTATGCCAAACACCTCCAGCTACTAACTATATATCTATAATGTCTTAATGTCATTGCATTCGATGACAAACCAAGTGGCATCTGCATTCAAATGCTTCACTAACATCACTTTTCTGAGCCATTTTTGCTCCGTGACTTTTAACTGTTTTGTTGTTGTTTTTAACTGTATTTATATTTTCAATTTAATTATTTAAAATGTAACAAACCTATTTTTTGTGAAATATTTAGTTTGAAAAGTTTGCTTTGTTTTTCTTTAAAATAAATAAGGAAATGATGTGTTTGATCAAATGTAACTCAGTCAATGGAATATCAAAGGTCTGGATAAACTGCGCAGCATCTGTCGTCTGCGACTAACTGCGGGAAATGAGCCTTTTCCTGTTCCTATTTGACCTCTCTGATAAGAGACTGGTTCAAAAGTGTATTAATATCACAGCGTAGAGGTTAGTGTCGGAGCAGACAGATTTAATCTGCATCGGTTTCCCTCCTTAAATGAAAGGATCAAGTTGTTTAATGTTTTTTTAAGGTGTATAATAACTCGTGCGAGCTTTAGGCAAAAAAAAAAATGCACATATGGCAGATCTGTTTCACAATCTCTCTCATTAAGCAAGAGAGCAATGCAAACAGTAGTAATCATTTATTTACCTGGGATATCAACAGAGAGCTCCTCTGTTAAGAGATCTTGACACAGCAAACCCCCACGTGTGATTGATGCTCTTGTGAAGTTAACACAATTACCATGCAATTAGTTTCTGACCATTAACACCCAGTGTTCGAAGACAATAGAACAAAACATGACTTTAGCAAAAAATGGGTTTTATCTTCATGGGAAACTATTGGGGCGTATCTAAAATGTTGTCAGATTTCGTAGCACACATTGTGCGGAAAGCAAATTCATACCGTCTCGCATAAAACACCTTAAAATGGAGAATTAGTAGTATCTGTAACATAACATAAAGCATTTACTGAAATCTAAATGCTGTTATGTAATGTGTTTAATGTCCGTCTAAACACTTTTTCTAAAAAAGAAAAAGATTTGGTTTTAATCTCACAGGAAAACAATATTTTTACAAAAAGAAGCCAATTTTAGGACTATTTTGTAACAATTGGGCTCATTTAGCCTCAAAATGCTCATTGTAATGTGTCTAGACATTTTTCCTTTTTATTTTTTATTTTTTAATAAGCATAAAGGTTGTATGATCAGTAAATACCATGATGTGTAATTGCATTACAGTGTAAACCATATTTCATTTTAAATTTTTCTCCATTTATTTATTATACATTTTTACATTATAGTGATTATGAGATTTTTATGCATTACAGTAATATGAAATAATGCTTCACTGCATGAAAATGCTTCATTTTAATTTTAGCAAAATATATTTTTTTTATTTCTTTTGATTTTGCTGTGAAATGTGACCTATAATCGTCCTACATTTTTATTATATACAATTAAAATATTTATTTCTATAATATTTAATATAATATTATAATATATATATATTATAATATTATCTAATATATTTATTTATTTATTTTTTGCATTACAGCAATGAGGAAAATGCTTAATTGTCATGAAATTGTCACAAATGGTAGCAAAATAAAAAAAATATCTGTTTTGATTTCGGGGTAAAATGTGACCTATAATTATCCTACATTTTTATTGTATTTTATTATTACTTTCGAGACCGTTAAACACATTTGTTTAGATTTAATAACACGATGCAGAAATTCAAGACTTGTTGCAGCACATACTATAGTCTGGGATTCCCCAAAGTTTCATATTGCAGAGATCATTTCCCTGTTACAGTAAACAAGAATAGGATGCTTGGAAATCATTCATAGTACAGGAATGCCATGCTCCTGTCACTTTCGATTTATCATAAATCCAGAGGATCATCAGAACCTCTATCTAATAATGATAGACTAAATCATTAAATGGATTAAATGAATAAACTCGCAGTAACAGTTTTGTAATGTAAAATATGATTTTAAGCTGATTGTGAAAGTCTTAAATGTACTTTTCTTAAACCTGTAACTGTTTCTGTGCACAAGGAACGAAGTAAACTTATTTTATAGGTCTTTTAAATCAAAAATATGTTGCCAAACCAACTGTTGGCTTTCTTTGAGGCACCAGGATGTGTTTCTGGGACCCTGCAAGCTGTCGTCTTCTCCCCTCCCTCTTTACATGTGACCCTCTGTCTTTAGCAGCCACACCTCTCTTTCCTGTCCCGCACAATGGGACTGGATCCTCCTAGTTGCCATGACGTTTGGGCTGTCCTATTCAGTAATGCAGGCAGACAGGCTCAGTCGGACAGCTTTACCTCTCATTGCAGGTTGAGAAGCATTGGGAAACTATAAAGGACCTAGTAGGGAGCCCTGATGCACTTCATATTTTTAGAAGGAAATGACGGGGCACTGAATTAAAATGAGTGATTAATAATTTTACACAATTCATTTTGTCTCAAGAACTCTCTTAACACCCATCCAGGAGTTGCAGGGTCTAAAGTATTCGTGTATCTGTTAGTGTTTTTGTGAGCATTTGAAGAGAGGAGGCTTTGAGTGATCGTCGCAGCTGGCTCTAGCATGGGTCAGGCTCCATGAACCCGACTGAGAGATTACCATGGTCTACCTTTCATTTGACATGCCGCTCGCTTCCATGGTGAGTAGATCAGACGCTCTGGAAACCCTGTTCTGCTTCATAAATTCGCTGGTAATTCAGTCCATCCGCAGAGAATGAGAATCACCGGGTACAGCTGATCCTAAAGTGGGTGTCATTGCATGAGTTTGAACAAATTGCTTTTTTTAGCTTTTGGAGAAATTATTTGATTTACTGGTGCTGTGTAAAGTTTATCAAGGGTGTTGTTTGTAAGTTGAATTAAGTGGGGGAAAAAAAGCTAAATATTGATTTAACGATCCATGTAAATTATAGATGTGTGGCTTTCAACAGAAAGATTCCCTTTTGATGTGGCATTTGTTTTACCCATTGATGTTTATACAGTACTTTCTTTGTTGGTTGTGCGTAATATAATATAAACCCATGATAAAATCATAAAACAATCATAAAAATATATATATTTTTTTTTTTTATGGCAGTAACTTTTAATTTTGTGCCAAAAGTCACTTTTTGTCTTGAATTTTCATCCCCAGTGCTGGTAGTGTGGTTATAACCAGCAGTCAGATGTCCGTTGTCCATCCTCCTCAAAGTTAGGGACATTTCCTGACATCTGCGTCCTCATCCTTTCACCCCAGATTCTGCAAAAAATCCCCTCATCAAAGCTCATCGTCTGCCTGTCTCTTTGCCTCTGTTCTAAATTTAGCAAGGGGGGCATCGGGCGGCCAATCCACCATTATTTTATTTCCTCCATTGCAGGGATGTTCTTGATTTGCCCTGCCAACAGAGAAAAGATAAATACTAATCATTTGACTTTCTGTTAATCAAAGAATCCTGAAAAAAGGTTTACATTTTTTTCACAAACATTAAACAGTACAACTGTTTTCAACATTGATAATGATCATGACGGATCATGTGACACTGAAGACTGGAGTAATGATGCTGAAAATTCAGCTTTACCATTATAGGAATAAAGTTTTTTTTTTTTTAAATAGTAATAATTTTTCACAATATTCCTGTTTCACTGTATTTTTGATCAAATACATGCAGCACTGGTAAGCATACTGTCTTCTTTAAAAAACATTTTGAAAAGTCTTAGTAAAATATACTTTATTTAGAAATGCATTTAACTGTATAAAACACCTCCACAAGTCTCTGAAGTGTTCAACTCAAATACTTCTGTTATTGCAGCAGGTATCAGCTTCACTCGTGTTTGTTTAGGGAATTCCATTGTTTTGTCTTCAGACCTTTCCTGTTTTTTTGTGCATTCCCCAAAAATGTCGTAGTCGTCTCTGGAATTTGCAGGAGTTTTTAGTGGGTAACAGCACTGAGGGCAGTGGAATTCCCTATGCCCTGGCGAAGGGTCAACAAGCCCGTCTGCCTCCCGCTCAGAGAGATCACTACTTCCTTAGATACTAAACAGCTGTTTGTTTGTTAAACTCGCCGCAGCTCGTAAGAGGGAATACGTCTAAATAGAAAGATGTTGCAATGCTCTCTAGCAGAACAATTGCTTGTGAAACAATAGCAATCTTGATCTTTCTGAGCAGGGTTGCTGACCTCCTTGACTTTGGTTTGATGTAAAGGGGAAATTGTAACATTCAGCAGGATCTTATTGTTTGGAAAAATCAGTATGAATCATAATGCATTATTGTTTCTGTTTATGTCATCACTTTGTAGGAGCTCTATTTTTTCCATGTGTCCAGCTAGGGTTGGGCGATATGTCATTTTAAATGATAAAATGGTAATATGCATAAAAAAATAGTTTGTGATGAAGAGGTCTGATTTAGAAGCAAAGCAAAAACTCACCAACCGAGTCAACTAATCCTAGTTATAAATTCGTATTTTTTTAATTATTTTTTCTCAGTGTTTTCATGTCTCTTAAATATATATTCCACTGCAATTTACAATTGACAATTTAAAAAATGTATATAATATATCATTTTAATTATGAAAAATGTTAACCGAAAATATTCACATTTATGTATTTAGTTAGTTATAAATGTTTTTATTTAAATAAATATATTTATGTATTTAAGATAAAGCTTAAAATTGACATTTTAAAAAATCTAAACAGAAAATATATACATTTTTATATATTCAAGTAAATAATTCAGTTAATTATTTTAGTTATTCATTTATTCATATGATTTAAATGCATTAAAATTTACATATATTAATATATTAAAATGTAATTAACCCTGAAAATAAATGTTTAGCTTTTTGGAAAAAAACGGATTAAAAATTTGTATGATGTGAAGTAAGAAATATTTACTATTCTGCACTATTTCTAGGTCAGGTTTTAACTTTAAAGATATTGTGATTACAAAAGTGTACCAACCCTTTTTTTCCAGTTGATTTTATTTTGTGGTTGTGGTTTGTTATCTTTAGATGAATGCTGGTACATTTACTTTATTTACTTCCACCCGTCCTATCTCTCTCAATCTTTTTCTAAATCTCTTGTTTACCTCTCTCACACACTGATAACGGTCTCTCTCGTATCTCTCGGTCTGTTGTCCTTGACACACTTGTTGATATCCTTCTCCCAAACCTCAGTTTTTCTGCATTTGTTAACATTTTGTCATTCCCACCCAGATCTTACGATTTTCCATCTCTTCCTTCTCACAGGGTCAGGCCCGTCGGCGGAAGAACATGACAGAGTTTCTGGGCGATGCCAACATCCCATCACCAGACACTCTGGCCATACTGGGTGGGCCTTTACCAGGCGGGGCTCCAGGAGGTTCACTGCCCGGTGTGGCCGCCGGACCTGATAACTGGAAGAACCGTGCCACCAATCGGATCAGCGTGTTCTTCGGTGCCGGATCTGGGAAGGTAAACCTTCTCACTCATCTTGAAAACCTCAGGAAGTTCAAGGAAAGCAGGACGTGATTGTGCAACTTTCCATGGTGTGATTTCCAGTAAAAAGATCTCATGTAAAGATGAGCCAAAGAAACCGAAACTCAAACAGGAGGCTGATTAAATATCTATGTCTATTGTAGGTTGCACCATAATCTAGTTTCAAATAAACCTGGAATTGAATATTACGATTTATAAAAATGTTCTCCCCCTCAGGCCATTCAAGATGCAGATGAGTTTGTTTCTTCATCAGAGCAAATTTGGAGAAATGTAGCATTACACTTGGTCTCCAATGGATCCTCTGCAGTGAATGGGTGCCGTCAGAATGAGAGTCCCAACAGATGATAAAAGCATCACAGTAATTCACATGTAGTCCAAACTTGTGAAACGAAAAGCCACGTGTTTGTAACAAACAAATCCATCAAGATATTTTTAACTTAAAATTGTGGCTTCCAGTTGAAATACAAGTCCTCTGTCCATAGTATTGCTTTCTCCAGTGAAAAAGTTGTCTCGTCTGAATCAGGAGAGAAATATGCACAAATCAAGCACCATTTACAACCAAAAACAGTCTAAAGTAGCTCTAAACACAGATGTTGGTGGATTTCGATGTGAGAGGACAAGAAGATGCGCTTTTTCACTGGAGGAAGTGTTATTATGAATTACGGACACATATTTTGGCCAGAAGTGATAAAAAAAGATAAAAGGTAAAGACAAAATGCCTTAATAATGGATTTGTTTCTTATACAATCACACAGCTTTTCACTTCACAAGACATTAATTGATGGACTGGAGTCGTGTGGATTACTTGTCGATTATTGTGATGTTTTATAAGCGCCTCATTCTGACGGCACCCATTCACTACAGAGGATCCAGTGGTGAGCAAATGATGTAATGCTAAATTTCTCCAAATCTGTTCTAATTAAGAAAAAAACCTCATCAACATCTTTGATGGCCGAAGAGTGAGCAAATTTTCATTTTTGGGTGAACTATTCTTTTATTAGATGACTAAACATTACAACAAACAAAAATCACATCCCATAAGCCTTAATAAAAAAAAAAATTTAAAAAAAAAAGTTTCGGCCTGCATTTACACCAGATGCTTGACTAATAAAGATGGTAGCTGTCACTCACCTGTCATTTCACACTTCCATCCTTTTCACAATTAGCCATGAAACCCCCAAAGAAGACAGATGGGAGTGTTCTTGTGTCCCACTGGGACTCTATTTCACAAAAGAAGGTTTAACCAGGGTCAAATCACCATCTCCAGCAGCCAGTACAGTCCACCTGTGTCTGGCCTCTATTGTTTGGAAGCACTCAATGCGTAATACTCGTTGTCATAAGTACACTGTCCATCCCATTACAAGGCAATAGCCCCAGTGGCACACGGGTCATCAGAGAGGGTCACTGGCATGAATGGATGGTGTTTAATTGTGAGGTTAAAGAGAAGGTGGTGTTTAGTGAAAGGGGTGTTTGTAAGGTTGTCATAAACCCTGTCGGGGGTGTTTTGTTGGAGCAGACAGGCAGTGCCTCGGTTGTCTGCCAGTTTTTGGTGGTCTGCTGATGTGAATTGTGCTGTGGTTTTGCTAAATTGCAAACTTTAATGTTAGGGACTCTTTACAGTTGTTTATAGTTGGTTGGTTCTATCATTAACAAAACAAACTACTATGGGATTTTTGAGATATTTACCATTATAATGCGATGATTTTTGGACCATGGTAATACCTTGGCGTTCTTTGAAATATCTTCTATTATGAATAAGGTAATTATTTAGTACACTAGCATTCAAAATTTTGAGGTTGGTAAGATTTGTAGATGTTTTTGAAAGAAGTATCTTATGCTCACCAAGGCTGCATTTATTTGATCAAAATGACAGAAAATAAACAGTAATATTGTGAAATCTTATTACAATTTAAAATAACTGTTTTATATCTTAATATATTTTAAAATGTCATTTATTCCTGTGATGCAAAGCTGAATTTTCATTAGCCATTTCTCCATTCTTCAGTGTCTCATGATCCTTCAGAAATCATTCTGATATGCTGATTTGATATTTTTGGTGGAAACTGATCAATTTTGTGGATTATTTGATGAATAGAACGTTTAAAAGAACAGCATTTATTTGAAATAGAAATCTTTGGTAACATTATAAATGTCTTTACTGCTACTTTTGATCAATTTAATGCATTCTTGCTGAATATAAGTATTAATATCTTCAAAAAGAAATCAGTTAAGCAACATTTTGTATTATATTATATTATGTATTACATTATTTTCTCGTTTTGTGTGTGTGTGTTAGGAGGTGGAGCGCGTGGAGCTGCTTCATACTAAGTTGCAGGCGTACACACAGTTCGGTCTACCCAAGGTTCCTTTTCAGCTCGCCTTCCACCAGGATTCCTGGGAGGAGGAAGAGGAGGAGCCAAACCTGACACTCGAGGAGAGCTGGAGGCAACTGCTGGAAGACCCCGAGGTACTGATGCACTGTGACTGATCTTCTGTCATGGGACAATACATAACCATTTCCATCTATTGATCATTCAAACTAACATGTGTACATAACCAATTACAATTATTGATTGCAGTGGCCTCAGTTTTCGCATAAACCAATTGCAATTTGCATCCCAGAACTGCCAATATAAGATATCTATCTGATTTGTAATATTTCACATGCGACTTTATTAGTGCAATCTGACTTTTTTCTGCCTGTTTTCAGAGTCTAAGTAGACGTCAGTTTCAACAGCAAGAGGCAATATGGGAACTGATCCAAACCGAGGCTTCATACATCAAGAAACTCAGGGTCATCACTGATGTAAGTCGCTTCAGCCGTTTAAATTCTGTTTGTCAGTAAATTTCAGAAGATTCAGAAACATATTAAAGTTGCCCTTTTTAATGCCAATGCTCCTTGTCTTTATTGTGAGACTTATTCATATATACTATTTATAATCCAATCAATCCTAGTGAATGAAATCAAGTCTTTTCCTACATTATTTCCCCCTAAAATAGTGTTTAGGCTATGTGGCCCTGTAGTGAAACTGGATGCTGATTGTGTTATTTGTGCAGCTGTTCCTGTGCGGCCTGCTGAATCTACAGGACAACAGTCTCCTGGTTGAGGTGGAGCCCCCGCGGCTCTTCAGCAACATCCATGACATTGTACGTCTGCACTCCACACTGTGGGTTCAAGTCATGCTTCCGGTGCTGGAGAAAGCGCGAAGCACACAGAGCTTGATCGACCCCGCGGACCTGCAGCAGGGGTTCAGTACGGTGAGTTACACATGCAGGTGTTATTTAAAGAGACAATGATTTTCTTCCTCAGTATTTTTGTTTTGTTTTCCAGTACAAATATCTAAACATTCTTAAATCAAGATAGATTTACTTGAGAAGCAAAAGTACTTAAAGGAGACATATTATGCCCCTTTTTACAATATGTAATATAAGTCTCTGGTGTCCCCAGAATGTGTCTGTGAAGCTTCAGCTCAAAATACTCCACAGATCATTTATTATATCATTTTGAAAATGCCTATTTTGAGTGGATGCAGAAACACGCTGTTTTTCGGGCCTGTCTCTTTAAATGCAAATGAGCTGCTGCTCCCCGCCCCCTTTTCCAGAATAGAGCTGCGCCATTACAGCTCGGACCTCCTAAAAACATCTGTTATGGTTCTGATTATCATGTTTATCGTGCTGAAATCATGCGTTTTAAACCATATTAGTTTAAACTTCTGATATACGGTTTTCTGAGCGCACACATCCGAAGCACGCGGACAGAAAGCGGCTGTCACAGCATGTGAGTACTAAACTAAGTTCTCATTCACACACAAGTTTACATTAAAAATACACATGAGTTACAAAAAAGTCGGTTATGTTTGTGAAGGTAAACAGCTGGGAAATAAATCGCATGTTTATTTTAGATCTGTGTGGCAGCAGCAATATACCGTAAATAAATCAGTAAATCCACTGCTCTCTTGCCTCGTCTGAGGCTGGGACTGTAAATAGGGTTCTGTGCTCGTCTGTGCAGCCAAAGACAGAACATTTAGCATGTTTTGCTCAAACTTTCACCATGGCTTTAGAACGGGTACACCATCGTCGCTTGCGAAAACACAATAACGGCGCCGTGGGTGGAAACTTACAGATTAAGGGGCGGTAATATTATAATGAGAGCCCTTTGCCACGTCACCAAGGGAGCAAAATCAGAC